AGTTTTTAGACGCAAAACTTTTGTATTGTATTTTCTCCTTCTCAAGTTCTTTTTTATTTAGTTCACTGAATGTATAAAATATTACTGAAATGAAGAAAAGTTCATAAGGAAAAAATAAACTAAAATTATGATAAAAGTTTTATATTGCACAATTTAATCTTAAGAGTAATTTGGGTTCTACGTGGCAAACTAATTACAATACCAAAGCATTCTAAATACACAGTGTGGACTCACAATATTCTTTTGGTGATTCAATCATGAAGAAAAGCCTTAAATTTAAAACAGAAATTGTTCAACAATCAAACAATAGAAAAACTAAAATTTCCAAATCATACTAAAAAAAAGAAAAGATTATTTACAGAACCAAACTGAAAGTAGAGTTATAAATAATACTATCAATCAAATAAATAATACTATCAATGAAATAAATAATACTATCAATGAAATAAATAATACTATCAATGAAATAAATAATACTATCAATGAAATAAATAATACTATCAATCAAATAAATAATACTCTCAATCAAATGGAAAAAAGCAAAACAATAAAATTACAAGTATGAAGCTAATGTAAATATATATATTTTTTTAATTTATGCTTCATTGACTAATCTGTTGATTATTTTTAAGCTTTGTATGAAACTACTGAAAGTATGTTATATACATATATATAACAAAACATAAAAGTTTACTACATTTTAATATTTCTATAAGTATCTAAAAAAATTAGCATTTTGATATAAGAAATAACATGTATGTATATGGAAACTTGAATCAATGGTTAAATGGGCTTTCATAAAAAATGTTACTTTTCTTTTCAAATTAAAAATAATTCTAAATACCAGAAAACTAATTTCTGACTTTAATTGCTGAACTAAGCTTTATCATCTGTTACTTCACTGATGATGGATTATCTTGTTGTCACTGGATATGGCAGATGTAGTGTAGTTGACATATTGTAATATACTCTCCTCTGCTTTCACTCGTGGATTTTTAGAAGAGGAATTATTAATGTTAGTAGGGTCACTCCAGTGTATGAAGTGTATACTTAGTACTAAATGTTTGAAACACTGAGTTCCAGCTCTACATGGTATTTGGTTGAAAGTTGACCTCATGACTTTCTTGCAGCATGTGCAAATGGTTATAAATTGAAGATAAGAAAATCACCTGGTGATGTTAATTATACTTCAATAACAATAAAAATGTAACAAGAATGGCATGCCATGCCAACATGGCACTTCTCCCTCTGCACACTTTGTTTGTTTTTAGAGCAAAGCCACATTGCGCTCTCTGCTGTGTTCACCAAGGGGAATCAACCCCAGCATGCATTGTAAGTCCATAGACTTATAGCTCTTCCACCAGGAGACCCCTCAACACACACACTGACTAGCCTAATCAAATTAGACAGAGAGAGATTATGAAGATTTGAATCTGATCAGAATTTGAAAAATGATTCCAAACCAACTGTAATTTTTGTTTTAATCTAACTATTTAAAACTAAATATTTTTTCCCAAACATTAACCAATTTTTTACATGTTTACTCATTAATTCATCTACAGCTAATAAAGATTCAATATTATAATTTTTTGCAGTTGTACAGCATTGAAATGAAATTTAAGGCCAGTGAGAGTAAAACTATATATTTCCTTACCTTTCCTGGTCTTCCATGGGTCTGAAATAAATCCTGTAAATGGGTGGTGAAAATGCTTAAGTGGATCAAGTTAAGAAGAGGGTAAAAGATGGGGCTAGGAAAGTTTCACATAGAACAAACATGATTTTGTTTATGAGTGTTGATAGAAAACTATTCCAGCTTTAAAGAAAAATGGCAACTAATTATCATTATAAACACGAAAAGACTTCACCAAGACTTAAGGTGAAAATCACAGCACAGAAGTTGTAAAGAACATATAAAAACAAAAGTTGAAACAACATTCTCAATCCATCAAGATTAACATACGAAAAGTCCCATCCATTTATGTTATCTTGATAGAAAAGTGGAATTCTCAAATGCTTTCCATCTTGAAATGAAGTACAATGAGATAATGATTCAATATTTATGACATTTGAATCCATAATCTCCTGGAACAAGTTCAATTTATAGGTAGGTAAAATTATCATTCAGTCAAGAGGAGAGTTGTCCTGGAACAAGTCCAACTTAGAGGTAGGTAAATTTATCATGGAGTCAAGAGGAGAGTTGTCCTGGAACAAGTCCAACTTAGAGGTAGGTAAAATTATCATGGAGTCAGTTCAGGTAAGAACAATTATATCACTGAAGGAAACCAGAGATACATAAAAAAAACACAAATGCCTCCTACGAGTCTTGGAAAAGGACATAAACAGATTAGTCACTCAGAAGTGTCTGAACAACCAGTTTTGGAGAAAGGGCATAGCAAACTGAAGAAATACTGTATCAGATCAAAATTTTCAGCTGCAGAAGACATCTCATACCTTAAACAGAATATAAACAGGAAGAAACTGATGTTGCATGAGAAATGCCTCTAAACAAAGTTACTGGGAAGTGGGAGGCCTCAGTCAAATGTCAGAGAGTATGGACATAGATAACAAAAGTATTTGCACCAAAGAAAGGCAATATACAAACATTAGACAGGCATGGACAAACATAAACATTCAAAATTTTATGCATATACATTCTGTTTAATACTAATTTTTTGTGATTAACCACAAACTACTACCCTCAGCCTAAGCTATAAAAAATTACAAATTTTCAATAAATTTAAGTCATTATTGAAGGTGCAATATATGACTAAATAAATGTTTGCTATTTACAATTATTCTCCTGATACAAACAAAATATTCGCTGTACACTAAGACATTAATAGCATAAACTTATATGTATGTCACATTATTTATGTTTAATGTAAACCAAAACATGTTTCTATCCAAACCTGAATGTTACAGTAGTCAACTGATAGATTGAAAAGAGTCTTACACTCATAAGAGACTCTTCTAAAATCTTAAAGAGCACTCACTTCTTTTTTATTCTTTGAATTCCCCTTTCTTCTTCTTCATTAAATTTTCGTATAAATGCTTTTAGCTCCACTTCAGATAAATTCAAGTACTGAGCAACCTAAAAAAAATGCACCAAATGGTATTATATAAAATCTACTAATACTTGTAGATGTTCCTAACAGTGTAAGTTACAGCACTGTAATGATCAACATGTATCTAAAAAAACAATCCCAAATTCAAAGCAGTATTTACATATGAATTTGGAAAAACAGTTTAGTGAGAAATAATTATAAATGAACTGCAATATAAGCAAGTTCACAAATGGCAACCTTTGGTGTATAACTTTCTTTGCAAAAACTAATACACAGAGGTTTTATTTTGGTACAAATGATATAAAATGTCTAAAGATTAACACAAAGCTTTTTTAATCCAAATAGGCCTCTTTTTAGAGTATTACGTAAGGTTAAACGTATACAAAAAAATTATTTAAAATTTATTCAGTAAATACAGTTTACAAATCATATTGAAGCAGCTAAACAAAAATTTATCACTAAGCATTTCTTTAGTCTTTCACAAACAACAATTAAATAATGTGGTTCTGTGTTGTTTTACATCTTAATTATCTTACACACGAGTCAATGTCTTAAGATTTGCCAGAAACTGTAAATGCTAGTAAAATAAGATAATGGCTTAATGATATTACAGTGAATAACGTAAAGTAACTGGAGATTTCTTGTAGTGAAGAAGAAATAAAACTGAGAATATTATTTCACCATATCTCATCTGTCTCAAGGTATCATCCAAAATCTAATCATGTTACAAAACCTATTAAGTTCCTATATGCAACACTTACTTTTACCAACTATGATAATGAAAAGAGTTAATTGACTTTGTTAAAACTATAAAAGGTGCATATCTTGAAACCAATACACTAATATGATTGAGCCATAGAGAACAACAGCCAAATGTTTCAATATATACCTCAATCATTGACAGATTTCACAACACTGTTAAGCAGACTAAGCATATCAACATAAAATAATTCACACATTAATTGGTTGGATGTGTTCAAATTAATTGTGACATCAGCACAGCAAATAATTACTTGTGTAATGTTGGATATAGTCATGAATTTCACGTTTTGATAACTAGTATAGAATATATCTTTATTCATGTATATTCCTGTGATACTTTTTTTTCCAAAAAAAAGGCAATACAGAAACCTTGACAACTGATTTATAAAACAAATGTATCTTTTACCCAGTTATGGTTACACAATAGGAGAATCAGAAGAGGGAATAAATAGATGCTAGAGAAGTTTGTTTATTATTAGAAGTAGACAAACAGACAAATTTGGAAATACAAGTTAATATGTTGCAAGCAGGGGAAAAATAGAAGACATGTCTGTATTAATGAATACAGTTTGTGCTGGATACTCGTAAATATTGTGTGTAAGAGTTACGACTACATGCTCTCTTAAAAACATTTAGTACTGCTCATTCTTAGCTATGAATATGAGAAATTTAAGTAATTTTAACCCTAAGTTTGGCTGTGAATCAATAGAATATGGGTTTTTACTTCTCTTCATATTATAAGCTGGTTACTCATATTAAAATAAAAAAAACGAATAGACTATATGGGGAAAGATCACCTTTACTTATGTACATTTGTTGGAAAATAGCATTTCTTGATCACTTAATTTACACAAATATATGAAGATTATAAAGCTAGGAGAGGATATAATGCCTCCATGTATGTATTCATTATATGTGGTTAAAATCTTTTATGCTGAAAAAAGTGCTATCCTCAAATATGAATCATGATCAGTACCTTTTTAACCAAATATATAATGATTACAAGGCTAAATGAAAAATCATATGTTGCAAAATACTTCAAATAGAAAAAATAATTATTCTCAAGTATAAATAGAAAAATAAAACTCATTAAATTAATTTTTTTCCTCATAATCAAATACAGATTAGACAAGTATAAATAATATTAAGTACCAGGTTTTTCGACTAATTATTTGCAGATTGACAAAAAACTCACAGATTTATTGCCAAATAATTAATCAAAGGTACACAAAAAACTAAAGTGTAACAGCTCAACTGTTTCATAATTCAAAATTGCCAAACTTTATTTCTTCAAAGAATTATGGTGGATTAATCCACTAAAATTATTTACAATTCCAACTTTACCTAACTTCAGACAGAAAATAAGTTGTTTTCAACAATAAAAAGAATTATTTCCTCCAATTCTTAGTCTTAATGTAAACTCTAAGACTAAATTAAAAATAACAGAATCAATGAAGCAATAGTCTAACATACTGTTTTATTACACCAATAGCAATCATGAACAGTTATTCCAGTTCATCAAAATGTTGTTGACCTTTTTAAAATTCTCTTAGCTTTGGAATATTTATTCCTTTCTAAAATATATTTTCTATAATTGGGTAGTGCTTTTCAAAAACGTCTTACGTAACAGTACAAAAAGAAATCTATTAGACTGACATAATTATAAGAAGAATTCATAAGTATTTATATCAAAGAAAAGCATAAAGTATTATAAAACAAAATAAAAACAATTTATACACAGTGAGATTGTAGAAATATCAAATTATCATAAAAGTATTTAGAAGGATATTTTGATAAAAAATTTAATCATTTCAGTTTGTTTATTCAATTTCCTAACAGTGTTTTTACAATGCTGAGTTTCCAGAATTTCAAGTTGTTTGTTATTAAGCACAAAGCTAAAAAAAGGGCTATCTGTGCTCTGCCCACCATGAGTATCAAAACCTGGTTTTTAGTGGTATAAGTCCTGTGCCACTGGGGGGCACAATTTAGAGATTATGTATTTACTTGTACACATATACCATACACTTTTATATATTAATATATTTATAAAACAACAACATTAACTTACAACTGTTGTAGATACTAAGGGCATCAAGAATACCATTAACAAAGTTTTAGTTACTTACAGAGCTTCTTAAAAAAAAGTTGTTGTTTTTAAGTCATGCCAACTGAACAGCAAGACAAAATACTAGAAATAAGACAATATCAACTAATTAACCTCACAAATTTAATGCAATCACAAACTTAAAAGATATAGATTTGTATTTTCATTTCTTTCTTAGATAGTTTAGAACACATATCCATTTGTCTTGTGGTTAGAATATTTAATACAAAATTAATTTATTTTATTTTCACTAAACAAAAGCTACTCACTGAAGTAGAGACCACATGACGTGACTGCCTTAACTAAAAGTATTATGAATTTCTAGGTTTTATTGGTTTGGCAGTATTGTAGTAGTTTTTTTAAAAAAAGCTGAACTTAATATCAAATTCTGATCACTAATTAATTAATAGTCAATGATATAAAGTAGTTTTAGCTCCATCCAAATAAACACTTCCACAAAAAATTCTCAGTAAATCCATTACAATAACAAAGCCCAGAATCCCAATTAAAATAAGCACCTGCATAACAATGCACAATTATCAAATGTAGATTAAACTAGGATGCCACTACTTTTCTGATTCTTACAGTTTTGTTTTATATATTTGTATATGTTACCTTCCATCATGAATTTGATGTAGACTAATGCAGTATTAACAAAAAAGATAGAGAGATTTTTTGTCAATCTCTTTTTCAGCTTATCAAACTTTCTCTGCTTCTAGTGTATATAAATAATTGTTTTAATTCAGTGGTTCTGACTTCAAATCTATACCACTCCATTCATTATCACCATAATTCTGACTTTGGATACTAAGTGACATATATTTTAGGTCTGCCTTACACAAAATGTTGGTGGTTTTGTCTAAAACATGGTGGCACACAATATGACAAGACCATCTAACATTTAAAACTAAATAAGAAATATGAGAAAAACATGTTTCCTTTGGTCTTCTGTAATCAAAAAGTATTCGTCAAAAAACATAATACAATGGAACATCAAATAACTCAGTGTATATATATATATCTTTCCAAATAAAAGTCTAAAAGAAGCCAGAAAGCTGTTACATTGTTTGTTATCAGAACAATCTATTTCTATTAAGGAAAAACCTGGGCTCTTAATTTTACTCATGTGCCAAAAATTATTTATCACTGATTAATAGTTACTAATTTCATTGGAGTGAGATGAGTAAATGTGAAGATGTGCAGGCTCCAAATCAATAATACAATTTATATGAACCACAATTTTTTGTATTGTATCTGAGTTATCTTGATTAACTTGAAAAATTAAAAACTTAAGTCTAGCAAAACAAAATATTTTTTAATATTTGATTTTGACCAATTCTATATTGTCCTACTCTGTCACTAATTATGTTTATTTTTATAATACACATATTTGTTGCCTCTTAGTACAGGAATGATCAAACTATTTGTCAATTGTCTTTCATAGATATTAATCAAGAATTAACCACAAAGAACTTAGCTGATAACTCATATGCAACTGAACAAAACCACAATCATTCAAGATCAAGAAGTAAAAGGTCAGTATATGAACAGCACATGAATTCCTTGAATTGTATATTGTTATTAACAAAAATAAGATATTCACATTGACAAATGAAGGTTTTTTTTCATCCCCAAGAAACTACACTCTGAAACATATTTGCAAATGAATGTTCCAAGAGATTCAAGTATTCAGTTATACAATTTGACTTGTTAAGAAAGAGCAAAAATGTAAAATACAGAGAAAGTTATATACAAAATATAATATAACCATAGAAAATAATGCCACATGTAAATAACAATATAAATACAATTTTTCTTATTTAGTTTTAATTCAGTCTTCTAAATGTTTTTCCAACAATTACAATGTGCATGTAAAATTTCAAAGTGGAATTAAAAATAATATTTGTAACACTAACTCCACTTCAACAATTTTTAAATAATTTTAGAACTGATATTTTGTCTTTTTGTAAAATATATTTAGTGTAAACTTGTAAAGAAAAATTTAATATATTAAAATTTACATTTATGCAAAGCTCAGGGGAATCTTGTCTTTAAACAACGAACATATTAATTTCGTAGATTTCTTTTTGCCACTCCAACAATTAACGTTTTTCTACACTGAAAAATTATTTCCAATAGATTCTTATGTCAGCTTACAGA